TCCTCCTTTTTAGGAGGAAAAATACGAAAAATGGTTTGGTTCTTTGAAAATACATGTTTTATGTGGAACAGCTACCTACCCTTAGTTCTGACCCTTAGAGCCAATAATAGGAACGATTAGCTAAGACTAATTGTCTTAAGAGACAATGTTTTCCTTCATTTTTTTTCTGTCCATCTGACTTGTAAGCTCATGGTTCCTTTTTTACACCACAGAGATGAACTTACAAAGCAGTTGTGATGCCTCTTGTCACTATGAATCTGGAAAAATTCTTCCAACAGTAGGAAATTGTGCAGTAATCATTGTTCCTTGCTTTGGAGTTTATACTGGAAGATCTGGATTTTGGGGCTGATCTCACGTCCAAAGACTAAAACTCCCATTAGCAGCAGCAGAGCAGAATTGGGTATGTAGCCCATGGAAAGTGATTTGAGTATATAGAGAAAGGTAGGCACACTGCTCTTCATGTGGGATGGTATTTGTGTCTGGCAATTTTTTAAAATGAGAACTGATCTCATAAATCATATATTTCATGAAATTTAAAGTGAGTGAATCTTTGAATGAAATCAAATGAAACTTAAAAAGAAAAAAAAAAGGGGGGGGAGAGAAAGACAAAGATATACCAAATATACACAGGGGGGAAAAAAAATTCCCATTTTGATTGTAAAAAGAGTTATGTATTATGTTGGTTATTTGCACACACAGAAATAAATACTGAGGCTTAGGTTCTGTTTAGCTGTTCAGGGCAACAGAGCTAGTCTATGAATAATGACCCAGCATATCAAACTAGTGGGTTCTGCTAACATCTAGCATTGAACTCTACCCAAGATATTTGGAAGCAGAACATCAAAAATGAATGTCATCTGACAGCAGTCAGATCACTACCAGAGTTAAAATAGCCCTGGACATGTAGTTCATGATGTGTGATATACAAGTGGTACATATCCGTTTACGGGGGGTGTTGTAGTGGTGAGGTTGTTTGAACAAACAGCCATGCATCACATACTTTAGCACTCAGCTCTGGGGCCACAGATAAAAGAACCTTCATTAGAAGGCTATTTAACTTATATTTATGAGTAATATTATGAGATACGCAGGATGTAGACACTTGCTTTGTTAGTTATTGGCTGAATACCATAGCAGGCGTAACAAAAGCACATTATGAATGAGGTCACTCACCCCTTTTCTTCTCTAGTGCAATAGTAGGGTAGGCTGAGCGATGTATTGTACTTTGCATTTCAAAATAGTATTCAATCGTATTCAAAATTTGTATATTATGCCACAATAATTAAAAAAGTTTCTCCTCCAGACAAAAGCACGTTTTGTCTGAGTTCTGTGAAATTAAGAAAGCTTTTAAGTGTCTGATACCATTCTTTCTACTGAGTTGCCTTAGAGGTAGCCACTGTGAGTTAGTGAAGTCTCTCTCTTGCAAAGGATTGCAGCAGGAAGCCTCAGAGCTGCAGAAATAATAGAATGTGACATATTGAAATGGAAACGAAGACAACCACCTTACAGTCTGGAAAAATCACTTGATAACAAATGACTGGTTTTATTTTTGTATTATCACAGACTCATTTTTTTATCTAGTCACCTCTGATTCTTTTAGTTATTTGTTGTCTTTCATCTATTCACTATAATTGCAATGATATTTTATCAGTGTCCCACACCTGATGTAATTTCACACATCGACCTTCTGTTTGCTTTTTTGCATCTTTCTTTGTCAAGTATAACCTAATCTTCTAATAATGACTTTAAAAGTATGTGTATTTGATATTATCTGTCTAGCCTTTATCAATTTTCTCTTCTTTACTAATTTGTACATTTTTATGACAAAGTTTTTAGGATTTATTTTATAAGGAGAACTAGGAGTTCCAGGCATAAAATAAAACGCCATTGTCAAATAAACTGTACACGTTAACAAAATTATCTCTCTTTAATTTTCAGTTATTTCCATGGCATATGCGATGCGCAGAATAAAAGGCAAATGACGGTGTGAATTCTCGCTCACCTTCAGAGGCCAGAAAGCCCTGCTGATTGATTTTAACTTGCATTAAGCAGCATATCACCAAAAAAAACGTCTGCAACTTCAATGTTGTTAACAGTCTGGCATTGCCGACCTTTTAATCCCCGTTCTTGCAGAAGTGCTATACTTGTGCAACCCTGAGAGGAGGGAAAAACAGGAAAACTTGATTGGCAAATAAATCTTGAATTTACAGGGGGGGCAGAGCTGTTTAGCAAGTAGGAGCGTGTGCTATTTTGCAAAGAACTTTGCTGTGAGGTGAGAAGGAAACCAAACATTATAAAAATATTCCGTTTCTTCTTTGTTTCTTTGCATTACTGCTGCTTGTAACACTGTAATGATGAAAGAGGACTCCTCTCTGGGTGGTTACATGTAAACAAAGAACCAAAACATGCCGTTCTTTCCTCAAAGAGCTTTCAATCTCCTTTCAGGTTTTCTGCTTTCTCTACTTTATTTCTATCCATGTTTTTGCCATAATTTAGGATATTCTGATGTGTAATGCATTTATGGAAATCATGGAATCATGAAAAGAGAGAGAGTTAAAAATATTTTTCTGACTTGCTATCTAGTTTCATGCATCAAGCCCATGTCCTGAATGAAGGTTAATGAATCTAGAGGTGAAGGTGAGGAAGATAAAGATATTTTTTTTTTCTCTTCCCAAAACAGATTTTGATTGACTTTGTGAACTAAGTAACATACAGTTCCCCTCCATATCCCACAAATTATAAAAAAGCTTTGTTTTTAAAAGCAAAAAGTTGCCAGAAAGTTTTGAGATCCTTTCTCATTAGAAAGATTTGATTTTTATGCATTTCAACACTGCAGTCTGCCACTTTCTATTCCATTAATTAAGCTAGCAGGTGCTGCTTTCAGAGGCAGCATAATCTGCTTTACATCCACACACATAACAAAAGTCCGGGAAATTATTTTTTTGATATTCTGTATTAGCAAACCCATAACAAGTTACTGGGGGCAGGAAAAAAGCACTTTTCACGTCTGCTATAAATAATAGCAAGAAAAATTTCATTGAACTTCTATTGTAGTGGAAAAATATCATTACCTAAATATACAGAATATCGCTCATAAGGGACTCAAATGTCCCCTGTCCTTGATCTGTGCGGATACTTCTGCATATTCCCCAAATGAAAGCAGCAGCTTCTGTGGTGGCACACAGTAACTGTAGAAACAAGTAACATCCTCTATGGTTAAATTACTAAAATGTTCTTTTCTTCTGAAATACTGAGATGTTTTTTCTGTTTCAGAAATGAAATCTGGGCCATATTTCTGATTTCCTCCCTCTTACTTCTACTCTAAACAGTTGCTTAAATTCAATGTCTCATGTATTATAATATTCAGCTAGCATAAAAGCTCAAGTAAATAGTGAAGCTGTAGATTCCATGTTTGCAATAGGATCAGGCAGAAACATTCCCTATGTCAGGTGTTATTCCACTGTTGAAAGTCGTTCTGTGTTGCAGATTTCAAAACTGTGTTTAAAAAAAAAACTTACACCCATCCCGCAACTCCAATTGTTCCAGTTAAGCTCTTTTAATGTCTATTTTATTGGCTGAAACAGAATCAGTGTAATCTTTTCTAATCTTTTTCTGTTTCATTGCAAAGTCCATCAAAACCAAAAAAAGCCTCTTCCACCTACTTTAACTGCAGTTGGATGTAGCTGATAGCTCTGGCAGTTTTTCATGATAGTCCCATGTAATGAGTTTTATGTCTTAATATGTTTGTCTTAAGAAAATGTTGTACAGGAATTAGTATGACTTGAACTTTTACATGGATAATATGTAAATAATCTATTTTGTTTTCTGTTGAGAAATTTTGGGAAGTCAACACAGTGCCTGTATAGGGGGAAGATGTATGTAAAGTATATGTAAAGTCCTGAGCGCGTTTGAAGAGCCACCACTTTATAAGAAAGCATAGGAAATGGAGAGTTATCAGAGGTCACAAGTCTGTGTATTTAGGTGAAGAAAATTACTGTCAGATATTACATAAAATGGAATTTTATTGCTTTGGAATTGAGCAGTGTTATTGCTCAGCTATATTCCACTTCAGTGACCAAAAGAGACATTTATTTCTCGAAAAGCATGGATCATGATGATGAATTCTTGATCTCGCCAAGGTCACAGAAATAAAGGAGATCTCTTTGGCAGAGTGGTGGTCAGTAGCACAGACCAGACTGACCTCACACCCTACCTTGATGTTGTAGTGCAGGAGCAGCCTTGATATCATCTGGAGACAGAAGTGCCAGAGTGTCCTCCAGGTCAGCTTTGGATGACATAAATAGTATAGCTGGGGAGAAACCTGGCCTGCAAGCATGTTTTGGAACACGCTTACTCGTAAGTGTGAATGGGCACTGGTACTCTATGCCTTACGGCTTTGATGTGCCCTAGCTGCCGTGGTACCACCATGGTATGAGCAATGTGAAGCATCTGAGATGGCACAAAGCTTTTCTAGAAAGACCCTGATGTCACAGGTGGGATTTGTACGCAGTCTGAAGTCAATCTGAGCGCTGGGATAAGATGTTGGTTTTATGGAGCTGAGTCAGAAACACACCAGGCTTTGGTCTGTTTGCAGCACCTACTATTTTAAGCAAATATAAGCATGGCCTTAATTTACATATGTTAATTCTGTTACTCCAACTTGATCTCATCTGCCTCTGAATATCAAATTTTCTTGCTTTTTGCTGTTTTGTTCAAGATTGACTCAATAGTGCTAAGCTTCACTGTGCCTAGTACAGTTGTTGCAAAGCACCCAAAGCCAAGTTAGGTAGCCGTTACTAAGGTAGCAAAGGTTTTGCAACTTACTTCTGCATGTTGTGAACACCTTCAGGTCTGAACACCTTTGCATCTGTTATGGATTTTAAAACCACGTGTTAAGCTTTCGTGATGGTGAAGTGATTTCTCTGCCATTCTTCCTATATTTTATAAAGTTTCCATCTCTTGTAAAGATTTTTCATTCTAAAATTTTCTGTTTTCTTTAGGGAACAGCAGTATTACAGTCTGGAGTCTTACCAGCTCTACCAGGTAGGAGCCATTAAGTTATTGGCTTTGTTAATGAATAATGTTTACGTTCCAAATTGTGATGAGAGAAACAAGACCTATGGAAGCAGAACTAAAGACTATATTGAGAGATATCCTGTTTGTGGTTGGTTTCGCTGCGGCTGTTCAGGACTGACAATTGTGAAATACATTGCAATCTGTAGTATCTTTGGTTGGTAAAGAGGTTCAAAGTTGTCAGTTTCCGTATAAAGTTGTTTAGTGCTTTTTCCGCTTACATAGTCAAAGAAAGTCAAGAAAGTGTTCTTTTTAGGCTATACCAACACCAAGGGTAAACTTGATTTATATGTTCAGTGTGTATACCCAGTTTCCTAAATAACACAAAACCAGAGGAATGGATCCTTACTGGAGGCAACACGAAGATGCTTCTCTCATGTCAGTGGAACTACTGACCGACAGACAAAATCAGTAAAGGGAGGAAGCCGAGTATCTGGCCTGGAAAGATTATTTAGGCAAAGGTAGCAAGCCTACTATCTTTGCATTGTAAATTTGCCTATCAGTAGAATGTGTTGGTCATCTGGAGCTCTCTGTCTAACGTAGCCAAATTGGTCTGGTACCTTTTGTATCATCATTTTACTTCAAAGATAACATTTCGTGAGCATTTGAGTTTGTGTACTGTCTTCATCTTATTCCTTTGAGAGATCTGTGCAAAGAAGTTGTTTAGTATCTTGACCATCTTTATATTCCTTAAACTGTTTACCTGATAATTCAGCAGATCTATTAAACCTGAGAAAAGGTTGCCTGGTTCCAATAGGCATAGAACAGCTCTTTGTGCTTGCATTTCTTTATTAGTTTTAAAAAACTTGGCAAATACGTAAAGAAGTATAGCTGATTGACACTTGTGTGAACAAATCCAGTAAGATATCTAGGATCAGGAGGTGTCTCTGGACAAGGTCAAAAGTAACTCTATTCTTTTGTCTGTCTCAGCAGGAGAAAATCCAGAAACATTTAGCAGATCTTGTTCCTAATTATTCCACTCGAGTCAGTGGAATTACTCTTGATTTATAGAGGTGTAAGTAGAAGCACAAATTGGACCATTAACTTTAATTTTATCTTTCCTTCTGGTACCCAGGTTTCTAGTCCTGTAATCAACCGAAGTAAATCAGAGCATTTATGATTAAAGTGTGTGTAAATACAGGGGAATTGGGGTCTATAGCTGCGTGTGGTGGGCACAATATTATTTCTGCATTCATTTCAGTGGCAAACTAATTGTGGATGCAGAGAATACCTGACAAAAACTTCATTTCAGACTATTCATGCAGATGAAGGAGTTAGCTGTTTTGATAAAACCTATCATTAAGCAAATTGGAAATGTAGAAATACAGGACAGATTTTTAGATCAACAGAAAGGGAAAATACAAGACTGAAGAAATTTGAGTGGGTTTTCGTGTCTGGTACATTGGGAAAATATTGTTTAAAAACAGAACTGAATGCTTTCTGGAAGAAGTATAAACGGTTTAGGGAAATGCAGTATCTAAAGCCAGTGACTGAAGTCTTCAGCTCTCTTTGTGGGGTTTCATCTCTGAAATGCTCTCGTCATATACTTGTAGACCTTTATTCTTCAATATGATACTATTTTTCAGAATACAAAAGAAATGTATGCTTTCTCTGTCTTGATGCATTTTTATTATCCTCAAATATTTCATTTTAAAGTATTGTCTTTTACGTATGTGAACATTTAAAGTATAATCGAACTTGGCGTTGCAAAGCTTTCAGAATAATACTGTAGCCTTTGAATGTTTTGCTTCCACCATCTTTAATCCAAAGCCATTAACTGAAGGTCCCTACAGCATGAAGCAGCCATTCGGACAGTTCTGTTGGAACAAAGGAACAGCATTAGAACATTTCTGTGTTTTTCTAGTATGATTTTTTTCAATCCATTGTTGAGGATGACATAAGGGCACATTAATTTGAGGTAACTACGTTCAAAACTGGTCTTGCACATGTACATGGCAAGACACCTCTACTAGCATGCATGATTGCACAGTGACCCAATGCACAGTTACAGTGTTTGCTAGTGTACCAGTCCACTTAGTCACGGACACATTTCTTTTTCATCACAGAGAGGACTGCATTGTTTTTTCATTCAAACACAAGGTACAAGTGCTAACCCACATCTTTCAGTGTTACAGGTGCCCACATGTTCTGTACAATATTTTTGCTCTTGAATGCCTCAGTTTTGTTCCAAGAAATGGAGTTAAAGCATCAGGACCAATTGTTTAAATATTTTTCAGTTTATTGGTAATGAATGCGGGTGATGATATTCTCTTTCTACAGTTATATATGCTGAGCAATAGACTCAGCAACTTCAGAGAAATGCGTCTAATTCTAAAGGCAAGCTGAAAAGTGTTCATGAAAGTGGCAACAATTCTGTATTGTAGTACTAGATGGAAAAAAACAAGTTGGGGTGAATAATTTAATCCTGGTTTAAATAATTTTGTTGCCTTTTTACTGCTGAGGGCTCCAGAGCTGGATGCAGATAAAAGGAAAGAATAAAATTAAATATATAACAGGTGATGGGTACTGAAAATGAACTCAGCTGGATGGAAAAATAGGCTTTTTTCCATTCATTTTAAAATTTTTTATTGTAAACCTATTCAGCCTGATACTTTTATTCCAAGCTTAGGAGTAAGCTTTCAAGGAATTAATGGTGAGCAGTGAGAAAGAAGAATCTGGGCCATACTGTGTTGGTTGTTGTTGCTTAGGTTGAAAATAATTTATAATTCGCAATTTTTTTTTCAGGAAATGTGTTGTCAGCTCTTCC